AGGACTCTCAAAGCGAACGCGCGTCGTCGGCTGGGCGCGTGTCTGCAATCTCGCGATTGGTCACCAATGCTTTCGAGACGTCGCTCCAGACGTACAAGCGCGAGATTTTCGTCGCCTTCCATTCAGCATCGCTACACAAAAAGGAGAGCTGCCAAAAATATCCTGCGCGTCACCACAACCCCTCTTAAAAGTCGAACATGATTGTGCCATTGGCTGATTTCCGACGCCTCTTCCATCGGTGCAATCACTCCTGCCTGTTCATGTTCAGAGCAAAATACAAACGAAACAATAATACTTATCTATTTCTGTGTCGGGATAGATGAGATCGGTGACTAATGACCGCATAAAAGTCCAGCATCTATCAGCAGCATCATCACACCATCCATTAGTTGCATCATCAGCCGTGCGATCATGTTTTCTTTCGCTCCTCAGGCGAGCCCCTTCAGCGGGTTTGTCCTGTCGCGCGCTCCGTCGGCAGATCTGACACCAGCGATCCGCTGATGCCACCGGGCTCCTCCGGCGGCGCAGACCGATCTTTGAACAACGGCTCCCTCTGGCGACATCGACCGGGCTTTGGCCGATGACGCATGTCCAATCGCCCACGGCGTGGCGGTGCTAACTTACACTTCCGACCGAGACCTGAAACTCGAACGATCACTTTTTGACGCTCCCTTTTCCGGCGCATCTGCGACACATCGTCGTGTCGTCTGGGACGGCACAGTCTTCCTCGGCTGCTTTGCTACAATGTGTCACGGCACGACGTGTAGATGCGTAACCGGAATTTTGACCTGCGCCGGGTCCTGGGCCCGGACGGCGCGGCTGAGGGGCGAGTCAAGGTCAGCAGTTCGGAGGAAGATCTCGAACAGTTTAGGCACATCGTGGGCAGGACGGGCTGGTGTCGTCAGGGAGCCACGAGGACCACTTGGTGACGCGGCGAGCACCACAGGTGGCTGGATATTTGTTGGGAGCGTGCCTACGGTTACCTCTGAGTTGTAGAGCTGCAACTCGTATATTCTACTAAAAATGAGCTTCTTATTACAGGAATCGTGCCATCTCGAGCGAAGCGTTCTCATGAACTTCACGAGCCAAATGACACGTGTTTTAAGGGATAAGCCACGCAGGGGGAACTCCGCGTCGTCCTGCAGTCTTGCGGGTTCCCCCGTCCGCCGCGCGTCTCACCTGTCGCTCGGACTCGGCCATGAGCAGCTTCTCCTCCTCCTCAAAGAGCTCCATCTGGATCTGGTCGTGCAGCCCGGCCGGCGGCGAGGCGTCGGCGGCCTCGGCAGCGGGCGCCGCCGCCTCCGGTCGCGGCGGCGGCGGCGCCGGCGCCGCCACCTCCGCCGCCGCGCCCTCGCCCGGCCCCGGCAGCACCGCCGGCCTGGCGGACACACGGCGGCCGGTTAGCTGCGCCGGCCGTGCGGTCCTCCAGCGGCACGAGCCCGCCCGCTCGCGGTCCGGCTGATTGCCGGCCGGGGTGGCTTTATCGCGCCGCTTCCGGCGTCTGACGACAGTTCGGAGCGGCCAGTCACGAGAACGCCGCGTCCCGGAGAGGCGGGGTGAATTCCGAAGGGTGTCGGTCAGACCAGACGGCAGGGCACGACGGGGGCGGGACCACGCCCTCCGCCAGCCGTAATGGCGGTATTTCCTCGCGGACGAGCAGCCAGAGTGATATTGGTGCAGACAGTCAGAGAAGATACTAAATACCAAGACAGGGTAGTTGTGCCATTTCATTCGCGCGGGACTTGGCCAGATTCCAGGCAAGGTCGGAATCGACGCTGAAATTGAACGCTTTGATGGAGTCAGGATGAAATGAACTAGTTTCAATGAGTAAAAATATAAATTTAGTCACACACATTCATCAAAAACAATCACGAATAGCCAACAACACGACAGTGAATATCTTAAGTGACGCGTCATTTTAATGATCGTGAAATGCATTTTGCAGATAGTTATCGATATTCCTAAACTAACGAACACTCTGCAAAAATGCACCAATTTCAACATCAATCAGATTATGCCACACCATGTCACAAAATAAATCAACTCCTTTGGAAATGAGTAAGCCTGTGAGCTTCGCGTTTACTCGCGATGGGATTACGCTAAGAATTTACAGTGCCGTTTAGAATATAAAAACGGCATTCGCGTTAAAACTCCATGTGCTGTACGGTCAGGGACGGGGTGACTCGATCAAACGGAGTGAAGGCACAAATCCAGATTATACGGCCGTTGAACGAAACCGCGCCAAAATGCTCACGGGCGGAGAAACCAACGACAGGCATATCAGCTCCAGTGCGATCCCTTCAGAAGCCTGCTCCACCGGCGTCCACGACATCAGCACATCTCGAGGGCTCCGACCTACAGCCAGTCAGCTGCGTGCGGTGAGTCCACACTGGGCCATCCCCGGCCGGCCCTCGAGCGGGGCGCGGTCGATGCGGCACGCGCCCCACAGCGGGCGGAGGTCCGGCGCCGCGTCCGGCCGCGCTAGCCGAGGCGCCCGGCTGAGTCGGCACTCGGGCCGGCCGGCCGGCATTCGTCAGCGTCGACCGGCAGCACGCTCACGAGCTCGCGTGCCGGCGACGGAGCCGAGGCAGCACGCGTCGCAGCCCGAGACAGAGCGGGAAGGCGCGGGGCGGCGCAGCGGGCCGGTGGTTAGTGGGCTGAGCGCGGCGGCATGCCATGCGTCGCAAGATGCTCACGGCAGCGGCACTCCCTCGTCCCGACGTGTGTTAGCGGCCTGTGCGGCCCGGTTAGACAGGAAAGCGGCGCTGCCGGCGTCGAAGGCGTCCGAGGTCGGTCCCAGGTCAGCCGGGCGGCCGGTTACCTGTGGCTGGGGGCGCGCCGCGCGCGCTGCGGGATGCGGCTGGGCGGAACTCGGAGCAGCAGCCGTGAGCCGGCGCCGCCGTCGCCGCCGGCCAGCGAGGCCAGCAGCGCCTCCTGCTGGCGCCGGGCGGCCGCCTGCAGCGCCTCCAGCGGCGCCTTCGTGTACGTGTCGGTGTTACAGCGGCCCTGCGTGGACGCCTCGCCACCGGTTGCCTGGTTAGCACGCGCCTTCACCGGGGATTTACGGGGACTGGGCAGGACCGGGCCGGGGCTGGCGCCGTCGGTCGGCGAGCGGGCCGCAGCCGGCGCCTCTGCCGGCCGCTCCGCGAGGCTGACGTGTCCGTACCTGCCGCTGGGCGTCGCTCGGGAGCCGACGAAGCGGGGCAGGTGGGACTTCTTGGCGGCACGCGCCGCTGGCCGAGACGGCGCGGCCGCCGCCGACGGGCCGGCGCCGCTGTCCGAGACGGCACGCGCCGCCTCCAGAGGCAACGGTCCGCCGCGCGCCACCAGCCGGCCCATTTCGGCACCCTCGTTGCGCGACAGCGAGCGCTTCTTGCAGGGCGGCTCGCCGTCGGAGCTGCGCGCGCTGTCCGGCAGCTCGTCGGGCACGTCACCCTCACTGTCAGTCCGCGCCGCGTCGCCGCCGCCCTCGGCCGGCCGCGGCGCCTCGTCCGCCGGCTCGTCCTCGGGGTCGTCCAGCCGGCCGAGCTCGGCCAGGCCCGGCGGCGGCTCGTCGCCGCCCGGCAGACTCAGCATGCGCAGTTGCTCGGTGAATGAGGGCACGCGCGGCGGCGGCGGCGACGGCGACTCGGCGTCCGTCCGCGAGAAGTCAGTGCGCGAGTAGCTCTCGTCCGACGATGAGACGGACGGCGAGCGGTTGAGCGAGCTGAGCTCGTCGGCCGACGAGGCGATGCGCGCCGCGTACAGCTCGGCGCTGGCCGGCGGCTGCAGACTCTCCTCGCTGCGCGGCCGCTGCAGCCGCAGGTGGCTGCGCACGGCCGCCTCCTCCGAGTGGCGCAGCAGCGGCGCCTGCCATCACCAGCGGCGAGGAGCGCGGCGGGCCGGCCATGGCCAGGGGCGAGCCGTGCGGCGGCACCGCCATCACCAGCGGGCAGCTGCGCGGCGGCGCCACCATGGCCAGCGGCGGACCGTGCGGAGGCACAGCCGGAGGCGCCTCCTCCCGCTCCGGCACCCTGCCGCACACGGCACACACTCAGCATCTCACCACCGGCAGGTGACACAGCGGCTCGCTCGGGCAGCCGGGCTGCAGCGACACCACCAGGCCACAACACTGGGCCCAGCCGACAGCACGCAGCACACATCAGACTTATGATGGTCGTTCACAATCTCCCTTCGCCGGCCTCCCGGGCAGCAACCTTCATGCTAATTCGGTAATGGGGGCAACGGAACCCTGCTACTCCGCTGAGATAATCTGAGGGGCGCGTTTAAGGGAACATACAGCCATCCCTTCCGTTTGGATATAATATAACGGTCCAAAATATTTCCGATGTTGCTAAAAGCTTCCTCCTACTCTGCTCTTTCGCTGCCTTAAATTCAACAAAACCCACAATATAGCCCTTTCGGCAAGCTGGTGCGAAAACACGCCTGCATTAAGCTGATGAAATCCGAGAGCGCCAACAAAACCACACCGGCGCCAGTTCTCCGACTGACACCACACCACGCAAAGCGCACCGTGCCGACACACTTCTTCACGACGCCGACCAGCCGTGGGCACCCGGCCGCCGGCACCCGGCCCGTCCCTCCAGCCCACCTCTGTCGGGCCCAGGGCGGCGCGTAGACGCTGCGCTCGGGCAGCCGGTGCAGGTCATCGGGCTGGCGGGGCGGCATGAAGACGCGGGGCGGCGTGAGGCGCGGCGCCGCCTCCTCCGAGCCGTGGCGCTGCCGCAGCGGCCGCAGCGGCACCTGCTCCGGCGCCGGGCTGAGCCGGCCCAGCGGCGCCGCCGGCCGCGCCAGCACCGGCCGCACCAGCGCCAGCGGCGTGGCCACGCCGCCGTACAGCGGCGAGACGGCCGCCGCCGCGCCGCCCAGCTGCGCCGCCACTGCCGGGCGCGCGGGCGGGCCGTCAGCGGGGGCGCGCTCGGGCAGAGTCGTCACCGGGGCATCACTCAGCCGGGAGTCGTCACTGACGCGTCCATACGGACGGCAGCCGTCGGGTGACCGAGGGAGCGGCTACCACAGGTGACACCATCCAAATAGCATACAGCGCTTGGGGACAGACGGGAGCGTATGCAGACACCAAACTGCGCTTCCTCTTCATGACAAGTGGAGGAAGCACAATTTACTTTAACGAAACGCAAAACCATCGTTTACAAACGTCACTCAGACATAAAGCGTGTCTGAATCCTCGAAGGACGAGGATCCCGACGGTCGAGCGGCGCTCACCGCCGCACGCCTCTCACCGGGCGTCTGTTCCCACCACGGGCCCAACCGCGCTGCACGGAAGCGGCCTCTCACCCATGGCGCGGTTCTGCGGCTGACTGAGCTCGTCGATCCGCATGGTGGTCAGCTGTTTACGGTCGGTGAGGAAGTACGTGGTCATCTGGCCCTTGCCCTTGACGCGCACTTTGCCGCGACACTGGAACTCGTACGGGCCGCGGCTCAGGATCTGGTACAGCTCCTCCGTCACCTGTCGGCAGGGGCAGACGGCCGGCGGTCGGTGGACGCGGCGGGGCGAAGGCGCCGGCTGCGAGGAGCCGGACTCACTGAGGAGAACCGGCCGAGCGTCAGGACGCCGGCAGCGACCGGTGAACTGTGATCAATTCCTGCCGTACAGACGACGCTTGGTGGGAAAGCCGTTGACGGCCACCATGTCACTGAAGAGTCTAACCGGTACGAGGTCGAGGTGTGTAGCACCGTCTGACCTGAATGACTGACCAGACGGGAAGTCTGACCCGAAGGTGGCCACTGCAGACTGGTCTGAAAGGGGTTGGGCAGGCTGATGTGGTCTGCACTTGACCTGGATGTGGCTGGGCGGACTGGCGGATTTGACCTGGATGTGATTGGGCAGACTCTGGATGTGGTCAGGCACACTGGTGGACCTGACACGGATGTGGTTGGGCAGACTGGCGGATTTGACCTGGATGTGGTTGGGCAGACTCTGGATGTGGTCAGGCCGACCGGTGCCTCTGACCTGGATGTGGTTGGGCAGGCCGGTCGAGTCCATGCGGCTGGCCACGTTGACGGTGTTGCCCCAGATGTCGTACTGGGGTTTCCGAGCGCCGATTACGCCGGCCACCACCGGGCCGATGTTCATGCCTGGAGCGCAGGCAGAGCTCAGAGGGCGCCGCCGTCGCGCCGCCCGCCGTCGGGGCGCGCAGGCGAAACGTGACGGGGGACATTGACAAGTTCACAGGGGTTGCGAACTTTAAAATCACCAACGAGGCGTCCTGCTTTGCCATGTTGATAGCGTAATGAGGATGATGAGGTCGAAGCCTCACTGAAGAGCTGACGCAGCCGCTGCGCGGCAGGCGATCTCGGCAGATCGGCCGACCCATACACCAGCAGCACTACCGGGCACCAACCGAACAAACTTACATCACGAACACCACACAAGACGCGGCGAAACACTGGCAAAACCTCGATTGGTTACTGAACCCAGGAAAACGCCGTCAGTGCGATAGAGGCGAAGGACTGGTCAACCATCTCCACACTGACTCAATCTGTCAGCGTTCTGCCGCCCACTGAAGCGCACGATGTGGAACCCGACGGTCGTTCCAGCTCGCGTCCAAATAAGTCCGCCACCTCGAATCGCCGTGCAAGCGCCGGCTTACATCCGTTTACGCCGCGCCGCTGACGTCCCGTCGTGAAAACCACCATGCTGGGGATCTTTAAGACATCCACCAAGTCCATCACCCCGCTCCCGTCACCCCTCCGCGGCGTTTTACACCACCACGGAGGCCGACCGCACCTATCCTCAGCATGAAGTTGTTGTACGAGTTCTCGTTGATGCTGTGCAGCCGCTCGCGGAAGGCGAAGGCGAGCTCTGCCAGCACCGACATGTAGTAGAGGGCGCTGGCGTCGTCGTCCAGGATCCTCTGGTCGGGGATCAGACCCACGGCCGCCATGTACGTCGAGCCGATCGTCTTGATCTTGTCGACCGTCCGGAACCGGTCCTCGTCCAGCAGCTGGCGGCGTATGTCACGTGACGGTCGTGCCCAGTGACCGCCGCGACAGCTCGTCAGACGGCGGGGGTTGCTGCGCCACGGCGACAACGAAGCCAGCCCGGCCCTTATCGCTGACCAAAGCTGGCGCGTGATGCCGAGGGCGGAGTCAGGCACGACACAGCAGGTGTTAACTGCTGTCGCGGGACAAGAAAACGGAGTCATAGTGCAGCAGCTACGAACGGTAGGTGTAGGATACCACGAATGCCGCCCAAGGCGGTTCACACATTATATTTTCACAACATGAACACTTCTAACCTACGACGCCGCACCTCGTCGAAGTCGGCGATGATCTCGTTGAGCAGCCGGAGGCACTCGACGCCCTGGTTATTGCCGTCCAGCTCCGAGTAGAACTCGTGGAAGTTGGTGATGGAGCCGAACATGACGCCGATGCGCGCGTAGCTCTGGTGGTACAGCTCCTGAGGATGGGCCGACTGAGCGCCAGTGCCGCGCGGGCCGCGTTAGTCGGACACCGACACCGGCCACGACAGCACGGATTCATGCGGGTCAGTCACGTCACGTGCCGAGGGAGGGGGACTTTAACATTAGACCTCTTAAAGAGTGCGTGTGTGACAGGCCCAGACCCAGGCAACAGTGTTGGAGGTTTCCACCATGTCTGAAGATGAGGATGGTGGTCTGATTGGTCAGCATGAATTGTGAGCGTCCATTTCAAGCATGAACCTCCTTCGCCCAAGTGTCATGCAGTCGGAAACAACAGCGCTCCCTGCGTCAATAATCCAGCGCCACCTCTCTCCCGGCCAGGTCCCACAGGGAATCCGCCGATCGTGTGGTGAGCCTGTCTGACCCGGCCTCTGCCTCGGGCCTCGGCCGCCTACGCCAGCGTATCGGCCCTGTCTCGTTCGTCCGCACTTTCTGATTGGGAGTGCGACGAACCGCGAAATTCGGACGCTCTAACGCACGGCCGGACGCGCCGGCTACGGGAGTGATGGCCCGTCAGGACGGCACCAGGCGGGCGGCGGCCTTTAGATCGACGCGCGGGGCTGAGGTGAGCGGCAGCGGCTGGTGGGCAGCGCGGCTGGTGGGCAGCGCGGCTGGTGGGCAACGCGGCTAGTGGGCAGCGCGGCCAGCGGGCAGCGGCTGATGGGCAACGCGGCTAGTGGGCAGCGGCTGGTGGGCAGCGGCTGGCGGGCAACGCGGCTAGTGGGCAGCGCGGCTGGTGGGCAGCGTGGCTGTTGGGCAGCGGCTGATGGGCAACGCGGCTAGTGGGCAGCGCGGCTGGTGGGCAGCGCGGCTAGTGGGCAGCGCGGCTGATGGGCAGCGCGGCTGTTGGGCAGCGCGGCTGGTGGGCAGCGCGGCTGTTGGGTAGAGCGGCGGGTGGACTGCACGTTCGACGGAGCCCCAACAAATGCCCACTTGCATACCTCACCGGGCAGACAGTTATGCATGTAGTTTACGTACACGTGAACCGGTTTCAATAAATTTAACGGGTCATTAAATTTTAAATGGTTAACTGAACTCCAGAGACAAACTTAGGCAAGACACTTTGGGGACGTCTCTGTGTCCTGCACATTTGAAATCTGCCGTTAAGGATAAAAAACAGAACGTTTTACAGATCTGCATGCCAGCAATATATATATATATATATATATATATATATATATATATATATATATATATATATATATATATATATATATATATATATATATATAGATCGGGTCACCGAGTTGAGTGGGCGCAATTGGCATTACTGAAGAGCGAACAAGCGACTGTGCGGTATCTCCTGCAATATACGGCGGGCGCATTGCCGACGCCCGTTACGCGTCAGACCAGCTCCGGAAAAACAAGGGAACAATGCTCTGACGGCTCTATCTCGCACGGCGTAAGAAGTCGAGCGCTCCAGCTATGTAAAAATGCCAAGTGGTATGCATGGATAGGGAAAGCTTGCCTACATATTTATGCTCCAATTACCTGTCTCTTGCAGTTGGGAAATACCTACGACACAGAGTTTTGCCTCTTGATAAGCGCTCTAGGAAAACACGCGTGAGGGGTTACACAAATATCAGTTGGTTAATAGCGTTAGTAGCCAGAGAGCATGGCCAAGCAGCGAGTCCCATGCCGGCGATGTGCTTGATTTCACACGGCCGTTGGTTTCCGTAAAGGAGAATTCCCATAACGGGGCCATCCAACATTTTTCTTTCTCAGATTGTACTGCATGCAAAGGCCTCAAAACCTTATGGCTTATCCAAGTTGTCCTTATTAGCTTTCGAAGCTACGTTTTACACGGCGTTAGGTAAGCTTAAGTGCATTTAGCGGAGCATTTGAGTGTGTTTCTAAAACGAATTTGTTGGTTATGAAACCTAAATAAAATGAGATTTAGTTTTCGTGTTCCACAGAGCCGAAAAAGTGTACCATAAATATCTTACAAAAAAAAACGATTTCACGGAAACAATATCCAAGAGATCGGGTTTTTGGAATTGCCTCTGCTAAGTCCCATGCGGTTGAATTTCCCTAGCTGTAAGCAGAGCACAAAAAACGGAAAAAGTACACAAAAAAACATCAGACACCACCGGGCCGAAGCCCAGATCACCAAAACCAATTGACACACCACGCAAAATTTCGTTGCCGCTGGTCGCTTAGAAGGGCCCATCCACTATCACTGCAAAAGCCCTTACAATCTTCACCATCGCTGACTGCCCTCACCATATTGTTCCTGAACTGGTTGTCGAGGAAGTGGGTGGCGACGTGGGCCGGCAGCAGATTGAAGAGGATCCGCTTGTTGGAGTGCTGCAGCGCCTCCATGTCCTGCTTCTCCTCGATCGCCTGCGGGTAACGTCACACTATGACGTCACCTCCCGTCGAGACGGAGCCGGGCCGCGCACGCCGACACGGACCAGCTCCGGCGGTCCGGAGGCCGTCTGTTCCGCTGAATAGGCTGAATCTCAATCGCCCACCGGGCGCCTGCAGCCCACACCCGCTCTAAGGCGTTATGGGGGAGAGCGGACGGGCCGGCGGCGGCCGCCCGGCGCTCGCGCCGGACACCGGGCCCGCCGGCTCGAGCGCGACTCAGGACCCCACTGGTGCGCGCCGGTCGGACGCCGCTGGCCCCGGCACGGCCGGCGCCGGCGGCGGTTCTGAGGCGGCCGCGCCACTCTCGTCTCGCGCCCGCTCATTAGCATCACAGTGTGGACAAATCGGGCGAATCGATCAGAACAAATCAGCCCACCCAGCGGACGAGGCCGGCGCTGAATGAAAATGGGTTCGGCCAGATGTGGAGGAGAGTTGGCCGGGCGGTTTAGCGGGCAGTCGTAGTTTTCATCGAACGGCGAAGACAGGTTGGATGGTCGGGTCGGACTACTTCCGGTCGAGCCACTGTTAAATAGAACTGAACAGTGGGATGGCCAGGTCAGGTCGCGACTGGGGTTGAGTCGCACGCTTCTTAGGGCTGAATTAAGCCGTAGCAAAGACCCGTCCAAAAACCGCACACTTGGATCGTCCCGCTGCACACAATTTGGACGGGCCGTTCGTGGAGAACTCAGCTAGACAGCCGCAAAGTGGACAGTTGAAGAGCATCAACAGAAATATCCAGAATCACTCAAAACACGTCTAGATCTGGAGTTGTTGACCGTCTAGACAGGCCTCTAGGCTGGATACAGCCGCTCAGCGGCCGCGATGCTCGCTCGACGTCACCCAGAGTCGGCACGGGACAAGCCTGATGTATACCGGGCCCGCAGGCGGCGGACACCCACCTGACACTGCCAGAGGAAGTCGAGCCGGGCCGCCCACTCCATCTGACACTGCCCGAGCCCGCAGGCGGCGGACACCCACCTGACACTGCCAGAGGAAGTCCAGCCGGGCCGCCCACTCCATCTGACACTGCCCGAGCCCGCAGGCGGCGGACACCCACCTGACACTGCCAGAGGAAGTCGAGCCGGGCCGTCCACTCCATCTGACACTGCCCGAGCCCGCAGGCGGCGGACACCCACCTGACACTGCCAGAGGAAGTCGAGCCGGGCCGCCCACTCCATCTGACACTGCCCGAGCCCGCAGGCGGCGGACACCCACCTGACACTGCCAGAGGAAGTCGAGCCGGGCCGTCCACCCCATCTGACACTGCCCGAGCCCTCAGGCGGCGGACACCCACCTGACACTGCCAGAGGAAGTCGAGCCGGGCCGTCCACTCCATCTGGCGGCCGTGGATCACGACGGCCAGCAGGAACAACACAATCTGGACCACGCTGAGCAGCTGCAGCGGTACCGGCCACCTGACACACAGGTCACAGGTCACCACATACAGCCGCCGTCTCACAGAAGGGTCACAGAGGTCACTGGCGGGCACCGCACTGAGCAGCCGCCGAGGACGCCTCAAAACTGCCTCACCACACGCCACAAAGAGCACATGCATATGCGTGGTCGACGCCAGTCTGCAATCCAAACAATGACTCCACATCCATCGCCGCGATCACAACGGGCGGGCGTCCCAGATCAGCGGTTAGCTTTGAAACACTCTACATTCTTCCGATGCAACGTTCTCCGGGCAGATCCCGGCCAATCCAAACAAGCAGGCCCGGACAGTGGCTGCCAGCTTGCATCAGCATGGCGCCGGCATGTGCAGCCTTTCGTCCGTCCAACACATTCGCCAGCGGGCACTGTTGTGACGCGGCGACACGAACCCGAGCCTCACAATGGAAAGGTTCGATGTTCGATTTCTGACCGGCCACTTGGCGAGACGCAACGTCACTATGAGGCCGCGTTTCGCGCGACGCTAATGACCAAACCCATTAAACGACGTCATAAACAGACTAACGGTGACAGACGTGATTGGCCGGCCAGGTCGCCCCTCTCCGCTGGCCGGCTCACCCCAGCGGCGGCGGGGCCGGGCAGCGCCGCCGGTCGCGCGGTCCCTCACCCCATGCGGCGGTCGTAGCAGAGGAAGAGCGGCGCGTGGCTCAGGTAGATGTACATGACGTAGACGACCGTCATGGCGAACAGCACGAGCGTCTTGACGAGGATGGGCAGGCGCAGGAACACGGTGACGGCCAGATAGCTGAGGACGCAGCTGAGCACGACGTACTGCGGCAGCGGACAGGCGCGGTGCGTCACGTCCGCCACCGCCCACAGCTCCGGCGACGAGCACGCGTCCAGCGACTCCGTCAGGCACGTGAACTGCCGGGCACGGGCGAACAGAGCGTCACCAGAGGTCAGCGCAGACACGGCTGCACCGCCCGCCCGCAGGCTCCGATATCGGCGCAGGGCAGCGGAAGCGGCGGCGGACAGCGGACAGCGGACACACGGGCACACAGCCGGGCAGTCGAACGGCGGGCGGCGGACTGCGGACAGCGGACACACGGGCACACAGCCGGGCAGCCGAGCGGCGGGCGGCGGAGAGCGGACAGCGGACACACGGGCACACAGCCGGGCAGTCGAACGGCGGGCGGCGGGCTGTGCACAGCGGACACACGGGCACACAGCCGGGCAGTCGAACGGCGGGCGGCGGACTGTGGACAGCGGCCACACGGGCACACGCCGGGCAGCCGAGCGGCGGGCGGCGGACTGTGGACAGCGGCCACACGGGCACACCGCCGGGCAGCCGAGCGGCGGGCTGCGGAGAGCGGACAGCGGACAGCGGCCACACGGACACACAGCCGGGCAGCCGAACGCAGACTGCGGAGAGCGGCGTACAGGGCCACGCACCCACAAGTTGGACGCGTACTTGAACCGGGAGACCGCATCGCACGACGCCGTGTATTGCCGGGGCCGAACGGAGGCGACGTTTTACACCGTTGAACAAAAGATACACCGAACAAAGCACACACCAAACAGCAAGCAATTCAGCTCGATTTGCGGGACAAGCTTAAGCGGATATGTCAGCCAAAGCGGCCAATCCCGAGCCGTGTACGAAGAGACCGACGAGACGACCATAAAAGCCGTCACACGAACGAATAATGAGACCCCTGCGGGCGAAGCCGGGCCGACTGCCGGGTCACGGGGGTCGTGGCCGGGACGTACCACATTGACCTGCGCCACAGCGTAGATGAGCACCACGGAGAAGACGGTGACGGCGAGGCGGAGCAGAAAGCTGCGGCTGAGATCCCACACGATGACCCTGAGGGCGGACGGCAGCCGTCAGAGCAGCACAGGGCTCACGCAACACCTCGCCCGAGCTCAGCACGGCCCCCGGTAGCGTGTGTTCGCCGTCAGCAGAACGGCACGTCCCACAGCCGCCGCGGGGCACTGGCTGCACACCGTCAGCAGGGCGCCGACGCGCCGCTGCCGAGCGCGGCCGTCGGGACCGGGCTCCGGAGAGGCCGCCGTCTCACCTGAGGCGGACGGCCAGCAGCAACATGAGCACGACGGCGATCCAGACGAAGGCGGTGAGGAAGAGCAGCAGCAAGATGAGCGTGCGCGGCAGCACCACCGCCTGCACGCCGCCCAGGAACATCAGCAGCAGCAGCGACATGGCCAGCGAGGCGCTGAAGCCTACGTCTTGCTCATAGTTGTACTGCCGGCGGAGACGGGAGCGGACCACTGTCAGATCACGGGCTGCCCACAGAGGGGCGGGGCGGGGGGGGGAGGGGGCATGCCGGACGGGACGTCCGGCCAGTGGTCTGATACATCGTGGCGGTTCAGATTCGGCCGGCCGGCGGCACTGTACGTTCCATTCCCCACGGTGTGCCGTCCACGCCAACCAAAGTTTCCGACAAGCCCACCCAGTCTCACATACGGCTTCCACTACGTCTCTCATACCCCATACCCCGACCACCCGCTCCTGCCTCCGATCTGACCGTCACCGTTACCTCTCACAACGCTCCACCGCCACTCCGATCCCAACTACCCTCATACCCCATACCCCGACCACCCGCTCCTGCCTCCGATCTGACTGTTACCGTCACCTCTCACAACGCTCCACTGCCACTCCGGTCCCAACTGTCCTGCCTTTCAACATCGCCACCGACGCCACTGTGACCACCGACCCTCCACCAATCTCCGCTCCGCCCGCCGCACCTGCTGCTCCTTATCCTTATTGCGGAAGCAGAGGCTGACCACGTTCACGTGGTTGGACTTCTCGCGGTCGACACTGCGTGCGTCGATCGCCTGCGCCAGGTACTTGTTGACCCGGTTGGTGGGCTGGTGCGGCAGCGACGAGTGCCGCTTCTGGAACGGCCTCCGGAACCGCTCCGCCATCTTGTGCTGCGGCGGGACGGACGGCGGGTCAGGCAGGGGTCACCGGTCACCCGACCGCACACGGCGGGTCAGACCAGAGGGCGGCCACCGGCCAACGAACCACATGAGGTGGGTTCGACGAGAGGTCATCGCACATTGGTCACCGGTCACCACACCCGGCGGGTCAGACGAGAGGTCATCGCCCACTGGTCACTGGTCATCGGTCACCGGTTACCATACCTGGCGGGTCAGACGAGAGGTCATCGCCCACTAGTCATGGGCCATCGGTCATCGCACACTGTTCATCGGTCATCGGTCATCGGCCACCCGTCATCAATCATCGGTCACCGGTCACAACACCCAGCGGGTCAGAAGAGAGGTCATCACACACTGGGCATCCGTCATCGGTCATCGCGCACTGTTCAACGGCCATCGCACACTGGTCATCCGTCATCGCACACTGGTCACAAGCCGTCGCACACTGGTCATCCGCCGTCGGGCATCGGTCATCGGTCATCAGCCACAGGTCACCACACCTGGCTGATCAGATTGGTGTAAGACGGGCAACCGCCGCCTACGCTTCAGCCGGGGGACGGTTGCTGCTGCTGCGGCTCTTCGGCCTAGGTTCAGCTCTTTGAACCCCGCCCTGCGTGGGGTGTCGCGGAACGAGGCAAAAGACACCGCCACCGTGGGTCTGAGCAGCCTTCAGCGAAGTCGTTCATGAATCGAGCTTCGGCGTGGCAAAGGATATACGTAACGTTAATCGTTGTCTGAAGAAAAGTACTTCAGTTGCCGCAAAATAATAGCCAAGCGACTCCATCCAAACCCGATACCGTCATAATCCCGCGACCGGCTAAGCGGAAAGTGTGACAGACTGTATGCTTGGTTTCGCACTAGTGGAATCGATTTCAGATTTTGGCTCGCGAGGCATGTGGTTGGCACCAATTCCGACTGTGAGGAATTCAGTACAACTTTCTGTCCATTTCAATCCCAACAGACAAAGCTGACTCCGTTGGCATGAGTCTACCAAACGAACCGGCCCATGGAATACTTTAAAGCCGGCGTAGAACATATATTTGCTTTCTAAGGGAGCAGTACATCTTCAACTCAACGTGTACGACACAGAAGGCCCTGAAGTATAACGATTAATACTTTCATTTCCATTTGAATAATTTATCGGTGATCGCAACAACCCATATTCCATTAGATCGGAAATTTATAATGTAGTGTCATGTGATATATGATTTATAATGTTAATATATCAATTATAGTGTTATGTTGGGAATAATCATGATTGCGTATCTACGTCTCACTCACTACCAGTCATTTCGAGAGGGGACGCCTCTTTAAAATGTCATATGCAAGATGCGGTGGTGGCGTGGCAGGGATCGAACCCAAGGCCGGCGGGTCCAGAGCAGGTCCGAGCACCCTAAACATTATACCACCGCCGTCCCCGTCCGATAAGATCGACTCAAAGTCGACTAAAATTCGGTCGACTCCGGAGAAGACTCCCACTCCGCCCCAAGTCAAACCTATGTCCAGAGCACGGAGCTCAGGACACAGGTTACGGAGATACTCTCTTACACTGCGGGTTCGACCGTTCAAAACCGCGTGCTTCCGGGTGAACGGGTAGCATTTTGCTTTTTATCGGCATATGATACCTTTATTTATTAATATCTTTAATATATCTTTATCTAATTAAAAATGCCTGCTCCGCCCGTCCAGCGGGCAGGGACTTCGGAGCAATCACTTTCCGTTTCGTATCGTAAACGTTATGACATCATCGCCCGCACGAGCTCGCCCCCCGGCTCGGTGCCAGCTGGTCCTTCCATAACGGTCGGGTCACATAGCGCGCACCAACTGCCTCTCGCACCCAGCGCCAATGAATCACATGTATAGCATCGTCTCTAGGCCCCGCTGACTGGACAGCAGCCAGTGCAGACATTCGAAATACTTGTACGGCTGCTTTCGGGACACGCCCATTCTTGTTTCCACGGACACCATCTGACCTCAAGGTCATCACTGACGACACAGGTCAGCACACGCGATCGACGTCGGTGTTGGCAAGCGCCAGAGCCGACCAGCGACGCCTGCGAGAGCGCCGCCCAGGCGCCTGCACTGCGGCAGTGTCGGGCCGCCCTGCCCGAGCAGCTGGACAGTGTCCCAACCCCAGCGTCAGCCGGTCGACAGCGACGGAGCTCGCTGGCCGAGCAGTGGACCAGCTCCTCCCCGGCAGGTGAGGGTGGTGGCTGTACGGCGGGGCCGCGCCGCCGCCGGGGTCCGGTCGGCCGGCCGCCGAGCCTCACGTGCTCCGCCGCCGCCGCCGCCGCCGTCCGTATGTTTATGCAGCGCTTCGGCCCGGCCAGGCCGGCGGCCGCCCGTCCGCCAGCCCAGAATGGCGGCATTAGCCGTTTGGCAGCCGCTGGCGGCGCGCCAGCGATGCCCCTCCCCCCTGTCCCCGGGGGCATTAGTGGCCCACGTCGTCGCGTCGTCCCGCTCCCTCGCCGCAGGCGCCGACGTTAGCGTCAGTGGAGCCGCCTTAAAACGCCGCCCTTGAGTGACACGACCCACCTGTGGGGGGCCGGCCGGGGAGGCGGGACCCATGCGGCCCAGTGACGCCCCGCACAACCGCACGGGGCGAGGTCATGGCTGCTCCGGGGCCATGGCCGCCCAGGGCCATGGGCGCCTCAGGGCCATGGCCGCCCCAGGGTCACGGCCGACCCGAGCCCGCCTCACAGACACGCAAACACACCGGGCGTTCGCGCTGTCTCGAACTGGGCGATGACACCTGGGTGATGATGCCGACACCTGGGCGCACGATGGTGAAATAAAGACGCGAGGGCGTTTGCGGTGCCGACACTCGGCTGGCCGGCCGCTAGAGCCAACGGAGTATAACAGTCGTTGGGAGAATGGCCTAATGGTGAGCCAGTAGATGCCTTATGGTTCGGGGTTTTGACACGTATCTGTTTGCAGACGCAAAATTATCGTCATCGATCGCTCGGCGTAGTGTGCGGGAATAGCCCTCGTTCATAGATCGCGCCCTTCCTGGATGTCGTTTGGTTCTGAAAGCGACCTGACTAAGACCCTGTGCTACCACGGAGACTGGAGTGATCCCGCGTAAACAGTTAGCTAACATTAACATATTACTAACCACACATCCCACTTCACCTCGTCACTGTGATTGCTCCACTATCTGATCTTACCCCAGAGTTGGCAGCCTTTCCGGGGGCTGATCTAACCCGCTGTATATATGACCTAATCATAACACACCGATTGCACCATACACAGCCTCTGACGCTAGCTTTATTTCTGGCGCCCAGTCGCGTATTTCCGTGGATCTGGCAACAAAAACGGCAGTTCCAATCAAGCGTATGCACACGGGCATCAGTCTGGCAACCTTAACATTCAAAAGCTCCAAACCTTATTTGGAATGAGAGATGAATACTGCGACCGGCACTCACCTTTTTGAGCACGCTGTTCTGTTTACTGGCATCGGTCGGCGGCATCGTCATGTTTGAAAACGGCACTTCCACCGAGTACTTGATGGAGTGCAGCAGCTGCACCACCACGTTCGAGACGTTCTTGAAGGAGAGCTTGCGCCGCTGCGTGGAGCCGATGGCGGAGCGCACCTGTAGCGTGTTGAACAGCAACGTCTGGAAGGTTTGGCTGGTCAGCGGTCACCACGGACACGGAGCACAGCTGACGAGGACGGGGCGGGGGCGGGGGCGGGGGCGGGAGCGGGGGCGGGGGTGGGGGTGGGGGGCCTCCGCTCGCCGGCCTGAGCGTGTCCTGGGGCCGCAGCGGTCAGGCGCGGCCCACAGTGAGGGGCACCTGCGGCTGGCCGCGGCTGCTCGGGGAAGGCTGGTGCATCGACGCCCCCAGGTGAGTCAGGCCGCGGGCCCGCCGCCGGCCCCGGCGCCGCTCTCAGGTTACGCCGGCCGACCTCCGGGTTCAGGCGGGCCCGCGGCCCGGTGCCGGCGGCCGCGACCGGCTCGGCGGGCCGCCGGCAGCGAGCGGGCCGTGACAGGTGTGACGTCACAACGCCAGGCGCGTTCGGCGTGCAGGCCGGAGCGCCGGAGGTGCGCCGCGGCATCTGAGCCCCGGGAACACGTGTCTGTGCCAGGCTGACCGGCTGACTGACCAGGCCAGACTGACCGGCTGGGCCGATCTGACGAAGCCAAGCTGACAGCGGGTACACAAACGCAGGGCATTCCGCCGCGCCCACGTGCCACAGTCAGGCCACGGCGCCACAGCTGACATAGCCCGGCTCACAACCGCACACGGCCCCACTCCGACCACGCAACACGGCTCACAGCCACACTACGGCTCCACTCCGACCACACAACACGGCTCACAGCCACGTCACGGCACCACTCCGACCACGCAACACGGCTCACAGCCACGCCACGGCCCCACTCCGACCACGCAACACGGCTCACAGCCACGTCACGGCACCACTCCGACCACGCAACACGGCTCACAGCCACGCCACGGCCCCACTCCGACCACGCAACACGGCTCACAGCCACGCAACGGCCCCACTCCGGCCACACAATACGGCTAACAGCCACACCACGGGCCCACTCCGACCACACAACGCGGCTAACAGCCACACCACGGCCCCACTCCGGCCACACAACACGGCTCACAGCCATGCCACGGCCCCACTCCGGCCACACAACACGGCTCACAGCCATACCTCGACAGCACTCCGGCCATACAACATGACTCACAGCCACGCCACGGCCCCACTCCGGCCACACAACACGGCTCACAGTCACGCCACGGCCTCACTCCGGCCACACAACACGCCTCACAGCCACGCCACGGCCCCACTCCGGCCACACAACACGGCTCACAGCCACGCCACGGCCTCACTTCAGCCACACAACACGGTTCACAGCCACGCCACGGCCCTACTCCGGCCACACAACACGGCTCACAGCCATACCTCGACAGCACTCCGGCCACACAACACGGCTAACAGTCACACCACGGGCTCACTCCGACCACACAGCACGGCTCACAGCCACATCACGGCCCCACTCCGGCCACACGACACGGCTCACAGCCACACCACGGCCCCACTCCGACCACACAACACGGCTCAGAGCCATACCCCGACAGCACTCCGGCCATATAACATGACTCACAGTCACACCGCGGCCCCACTCCGACGAAACAACACCACACGATCAACATGCAGCGCTACGTGTGATCACACCGCCCGTGACCGAATTATAGATATAGGCGCGCTCGTCATGTACCAGGGCGACCCCACCGCGTCACACTCAACCGAGCCGCGTCCATTGGCGGCCGGCCAGCGTTGTACGTGCTTCCAATAAGCGCACGACACATGACACCAGCCCATGGCGCACCGGCGTCCGTCTTCCAGTCGGCGCCGGCCGCTACACTCGCCGGCCCGGGGCTGCCCGGCTGAGCGCGGGACTCACTGCCCCGCCCCGCCAACGTCCGCCGGCACCGCACCCACCTTCCGCCGGCGCGGCGGCGGCACGATGAAGAAGGAGCGCGCGCCGGCGTCGCGCAGGTACTGGTTGCGCAGGTGTCCGTCGGCCGGCTCCACCTGGTACTCGTCGTGCAGCGCGTCCAGCGTCGCCTGCGTGATGTGCACCCGCCTGCCGGCAGGGCGGAGTGTCTGGTCAGAGCGGCCCGGTCCCGTGCCAGCCGAGCGGCAGGCCGCACTCGACGGCCCGCTTCGTCGGCACACGTCGGGCCTTCCGCCACTGGCGGCGTTGCGCGCCCGACACCCGGCCTACTGAACGTGCGCTACCCAAAGCGTTTGTCCCACTGACGGCATAATGTTCTAAGTGTCTGCTCTAGTGACGGCACGATATCCCAGACACTCGCCCTACTGACGGCACGATATTCCAGACGTCTGCCCTCGTGACAGAACGATATCCCAGACGCTCGCCCTACTAACGGCACGATATTCCGGACGCCTGCCCTAGTGACGGCAATATATCCCAGACACTCGCCCTACTGACGGCACGGTATTCCAGACGTCTATCCTAGTGACGGCACGACATCCCAGACACTAACCCTACTGATGGCACGATATCCCAGACACTCGCCCTACTGACGGCACAATATTCCAGACGTCTGCCCTCGTGACAGCACAATATCCCAGACGACTGAGTAGCGACGTTCTAGACGCCTGCCCTACTGACGGCACGACATACCGGAGTTTGCCCCACTGGCGACACAACGTTCCGATAATCTGAGCCTTTGTCCTGCTAGCGGTGCTACATTCCAGGTCTCTGTTCGACTGGCGGCGGCTGATGGCGAGTGCATACGGTCTCGTCTGCGCCAGCGTACGGCAGCCTCCTGGCCCTGACCACGACCGCCCGCACATGCATCGCGACAATCCCGTCCACACAGCAGCCCTTCAAGTCGCATGTCCTCCATCACGTCTCAACCGGCCACGCTGTCCGACGGGTCAAAGCAGACACGTGAAAGCCCGGCACGGCACGGTGGTCACGCGCGCCACCCGCACGAGTTACGGGGCTGCAGCCGCGATTAGGGCGCGTGCCGGCCGGCGGGCACGGGCAGGGTTCTGGGTTCGGACGGCCCGTCAGCTGGCCAGCGCACCAGGTCCGCGGCCGACAGCACACGGCCTCCGGGAAACTCCCAGCCGTCGGGACCAGCCAACGACGGACGCAGATTGTTGGCCTACAGTGAGAGCCGTTAGTTGCGAGTGAGCAGCTCGTGCATGAGTGAGCTGTTCGTGCATAGACGGTGCGAGGCGAACAGAGCATCGCATCTTCCCCCACATTTTGGCGTGAGATGAAACTGGACCAACCCGGTTCAAAGCTTTTTTGCCATCCACCCGTCTCGAACAAATACTAAACTCGCTAGGTAGAGGCCCTTGCCATCTACCTGTCTTGAACAAAGACTTAACTTCCTGGGTGGAAGCCCTTGCCATCCACCTGTCTTGAACAAAGACTAAACTTGCTAGGTAGAAGCCCATCAGAAACGGGCACAACACGTGCGGAGGATGTTTGTGCCGCAAGTTTCGTCGCAGCACCAATTCGCTCGACGCCCGTCAGTTCGCCATCCAACAGTTATGGATCCAGCACAAAATAAACTTCCCCGACTGCATTCAGAGCTTTACGACATCTCCAAATGACTTTCCTAAAGAGACGTCACTTTGCTACTTTGCTGATAAAAACTCTCCGGAGCCCAAACACTGTTCCAGACGCCGTTTGGACTGCGCGGCCAAGCCTCGTCGTCAATTTCAATCAGCATCGAGCACAGATGGTGGCCACCAGTTATAAAGAGCGAGAGGGCGACAGAGCGAGAGAGAAAGAAAGAGAGATAGGAAAGAGAGAGAGAGAGAGAGAGAGAGAGAGAGAGAGAGAGAGAGAGAGAGAGAGAGAGAGAGAGAGAGAGAGAGAGAGAGAGAGAGAGAGAGAGCCGAGAGCCGAGAGCCGAGAGCCGAGAGCCGAGAGCCGAGAGCCGAGAGCCGAGAGCCGAGAGCCGAGAGCCGAGAGCCGAGAGCCGAGAGCCGAGAGCCGAGAGCCGAGAGCCGAGAGCCGAGAGCCGAGAGCCGAGAGCCGAGAGCCGAGAGCCGAGAGCCGAGAGCGAGAGCGAGAGCGAGAGCGAGAGAGAGAGAGAGAGAGAGAGAGAGAGAGAGAGAGAGAGAGAGAGAGAGAGAGAGAGAGAGAGAGAGAGAGAGAGAGAGAGAGAGAGAGAGAGAGAGAGAGAGAGAGAGAGAGAGAGAGAGAGAGAGAGAGAAACACGGCCGCGAGCGACACTATACTGGTGCAGCCCGCAGCGCCCCACACAGCACTGTCTGTCCGTCTCGGAGCCTTGGCATCCACAGCCTCGCCTTGTCCTCTAGGCAACGCCACTGAAGCTCAGCTGTAGCCCGCAGTGCGTACGCGAAGACGCATCTCTTTCTCCTCTCAGCAAAAAGCCGTAATAATCGCCGGGACCACTTGCCAAGCCGGAGTTGGCAGGCGGCACGCCCGGCGGCGAACGGTTGCCGCTCTCTTCAAACGGCGCCGCCTCTTGATGTAGAAGCGAGCGGCGGTCGCTCCGGCCCGCCCAGGCGCCGCCCGGGAGGCAGCGCTAACACAATGCCCCAAACTTCCGGTGGCAACGGAGCTGCCCCAGCCCACAGACGCGGACGCAGTCGCCGTGACTCAAATCCAGACAGGGCTTGACGCCCCGGCCGAGCTGCAGCGGTGCACGGGAGCACCAGCACCGCCCGCCCGACTGACTCCGCGTTTAGTGCAAACTGGCAAACGTCTCCTGAAACAAGGCGCCGCCGTACATACCCGGGCTCGCCTCCGGCCTCCATGTTGTTGGCCAGCGTGACATCGTTGGACCAGACGTCGTACTGCCACTTGCGCAGGCCGAGGACGCCACAGAGCACGCGGCCCGAGTGGATGCCGACCCGCATGTTCAGCTGCACGTCCGTGGCGTCCACCACCGACCTGCCGGGCAAGGTACAGCCTGTCACCAGATATCTGGCAGGGACATCTGGGGTGGTCATCAGATCTGGCGGAGACGTCTGGGGTGGTCACCAGATCTGGCGGAGACGTCTGGGGTGGTCATCAGATCTGGCGGAGACATCTAGGGTAGTCAACAGATCTGGCGGAGACGTCCAGAGTGGTCTAAAGAGCTGGCGGAGATGTATGGGTGATCACCAGATCTGGCTGAGATGTCTGAGGTGATCATAAGACCTGGCCAAGATGTCTGGGGTGGCCGTGAAATTTGACAGAGACGTTTGAAATGGTCAACAACAGCCTGTCTACCGGAGACTTCCGAGGAAATCTGAAGATCTGGCGGAAACACTTGAGGCAGTCACCAGACCTGACAACAACATTTCGGGTCGGCAGGATTAATAGAGACATCAAGGCGGTTATCAGACCTGACATGGCATGTATCAAGGGAATGAACACACATATAAGGGGCTTGGAGAACCTCCGAGCGCGTCAAAAGTGGTCACAATTCTGACGGAAACCTCCGAGATGGTGACCAGATCAGTCAGAGGCATCTGAGGCCAGCGAACTGACGGCAACGTCAGATGTGGTTAGAAGACGTACCGAAGAAATTATCAATGGTAGGGAGGCATCACAGATTTGCACGGCCCCTTGTAGACTACGTTATCGTTTGATGCCCACGAAATGTGCCAAATAAACCTGTGCAAAAAATCAAACAAATAAGCATGCATGTTTTACATAGCCCCAGCAAGTTTAATCTAACATATCCCACTGATGCTGATTTGTATCTTCAGTAATGCTCACTGAAGAACTCGCGCGCCCTGGTACGGGAACCAACATTTGGCCTCTAATCCAGCGTAAACATTTCAAGCCCCAGCGCGGGCTGAAAAGCAACACTTAAAACGTGCTCATAGCACCGACAGGAAGCGGCTCTTTGAACGACTGATAGTTCCAATGGTGAGCCACCCTCAACACAACCCTCCACTAAAAGATACCCGCAATCCCGCAGGTGAACACTGATAAGCGACAGCTCAGCGGTGACCGGCGGACAGTGAACGCCGACAGCTGAACCCCGGTCCGCGTCCGGCGATCAGCGCCCCTGGAGTCACCGCAGCAGTGACCGATGAGCCGCGGGCAGTGATGGATCGGCGCCAGTAAAGAGCGCCCCGGCAACCGAGCATCCGCACGCAATAAACACCGACCGCGCAGAGCGTCGTAAATTACAGCCGCGCTCGTCGCGAGGTGCGGTGAAGAGTGAGCGACGACCAAGTCCAGGGAGCGCGAGCGCCCTGCGGGGGGCGCCGAACGCGGCCAGCCGCGGGCGGAGCGCGGTGACGCGCGAGTCGCGGACCCGGCGCGGCGCCGCGTGCCCCGCGAGTGCCGCCGCCGGCGGTGTCGGGTGTGCACCGAGCGGCTGCCGCACCGCGTGTTGATTCGGGGCTCTGTTTTCATTGGGCCGGCCGGCCGGCGGCCGGTCGGCGGCGGCGGCGGCGATCCTGCACAGCCGGTGCCTGAGTCACCGGCCACGTCGTCGCACCAGACGGCAGCCCGCGCCCGCCGCTGACGCCGTCCGGCTCGGCAACACGGGCGAGGCCGCCCCCAGCGCGGCGCCGCGCGAACACCGGGCCGCCTGACGGCGCGCGAGCTTCGGGACCGACGCCGCGTGCACGCCGAGGCAGCTCAGCAGTCGGGCACACTGCATTTTACGACGGTGACAACATAAACATTCGGCGCTTCATCAGTCCTGAGATGGGCGTTTCTCGCTTGATCAGCTCTGGCTGGGGGCGGCGGTCGGCCCACCGCAGCGTCTGAACGGTCACGCCAGCCAGCGACCCGCCGAGCTCGACATTGGTCACCGCACACCCCCACCCCCTCTGCTCGCCCGCCGGCGGCCCATCCCGCACCAGCCGGAGCGAGGCCGCGCCTCGATGACTGGGTGCGCGTCCCCGCCGCTCGCCCGCCGGCGGCCCACCCCAAACTAGAGCGAGCCGCGCCTCGACGACAGGGTGCGGGCCCCGCCGCTCGTCCGCCGGCAGGCTCCTCCGGCATCAACCGGAGCGAGCCACGCCTCCACGACTGGGTGCGAGTCCCCGCCGCTCGCCCGCCGGCGGCTCCTCTCGCACCAGCCGGAGCGAGCCGCGCCTCGACGACTGGGTGCGAGTCCCCGCCGCCCGCCTGCTCTGCGCCGGAGGACGTCGAGTACCATCCGGCCGGCTGAGAGCCACTCACAAAAGCACGCAATACTGTCGGATCCTCGGGGGTCCGCGACACTCGATCGTCTAGATCATGCTCCAACGATAGGAGAGCAGCTATCGACCCGCTTTTTCCCCACGGGCAATGCGTACCAGTCGCGCCACGCTCATGGGGATCACTCCACGAAATAAATGAGGTGATCACCTGCCGTGT